CTTCTTCGCCATTTATAGATCACGAACGCAATCAGACATGGAACCCCCAAAATTAGTCTTGCTAGAAAAAAATAACCTGACAAGAGATATATATCACCGAAAAGAATCATGAGAAAACAAATTTATTGGTTAGATCAACTAATGCGCTTTCAACATTTTTGTTGTTGTTTTGTTTCAGAAATATGTATTCTTTGATGTCATTCAAGGGTAATATATACAAGCCCTTACCGGAGCAAATGAGTATCGGCCATATACGTTCTGCAAGAAATATAGCAAAAGTGGGGACAAAATCAAAGACTTGACAATTGGTTTTCGAAAAGTGAACAAAATCAAAGAATTGATTATATGCAAGAAATAAAAGATCTTACTGATCTTCCAATTGGTGGTTGTGAACGGAAAATACCATCGACGTCGCTGACCTGCAAGAAATACAACAAAGACTTGACTAAGTTTGAATTGACCCTCTTTTTTTTTTTTTTTTAATCACAAGTTCATTAGTATCCACTCACAATTGTCGTGATGTAATTGACAAGAAAAAGGAGGAAAAAAATAAATAAATAAAAGAAGCTTTTGGGGAGAAAGTCCTTACCAACGAACATTTCATCAGAAAATAAACCTTCTGTGACAAAAAAAAGAAGGGAAAAACAAAAAAGAAACAACATTAGCACATCGCGTCATTAAAATTTGAAATACGTCTATTCCAGCCACAAACTGCATCATTGCTCATGGAGAAATTGTTTTGGTACGTCTTATTTTGAGCAATGTTCTTTTGCGAGACAAGTATTTATATTGTCAAATTGTGAATCTGGACACTTATGAAAGAGTCAAATTTATGTCTGAAATTCACAGTCTGACAAGATAAGCTGTTTATATTGCCATACAATTTAGAAGGAGAATTACATCTTATTTTAAACTTTTTAATTGAGGGTTTTGATATAATATTGGGTATTACATTTCCCAGTGGAAAATTCCGAAGTCAATTGGAACATGGGATTTCATAAGTCCAAAAGTCTAAAGGAAGCTGACCACATACCTAATTGAAACAAAACAAGGTGCAACAGTATTAACAAGTTGAGATAATAGTTTGTGCATGAGAGGTAGCCCCTTAACATTTTTGTTTTGTTTTTGTGAACATCTCATTCAATGTTATTAAAAGAATATTCAATCCGTAACAAGCTCCTTTTGTCCAAGGTTCATTTTGCACTAAAAAAATAGTAAATAACATATAGCCAAATAGAGAGAGAGCCTTTACCGTAAATAACCTTGCCTAGAAATCGAAAGAAACCTACATAAACAAAGAAGAAGATAACATATTAGCACACCAAGTCCTTAAACTTAAGGATCAATTACATTTTCCATTCTTGTGGTTTGATATGTGTACAATTTGCCTGTCTTTTAAAAATTGGCAAAAACGACCTTAAAGTTATCAATCGGTACACCATTTGCCCCTCCGTGTTACTAGTTGCTATTTTTTGACCTTATACTTGGTTAGCCTATATTTTACTTATACTTGGTTAGCCCATTTTTCAACTCTCTTTGTATTTAGAAGGCTATGATTTTCTTTAAAGAAACTCTTTATTTGTTGTCCCAATGACATACGGTAATCCACGTAGAATGAACCTGACTTTATGTAAGCAAAACATAAGCCCCAAGCCCACTGATATACCGAAAAGATTATCTAATGTTGTAAGAATTCTTAATTTAGGGTTGTTTCTGCTAATTTTTTTAAAAAAATTGTCAATCTGCTTTTATTATTTTTCTTGAAATTTGTTACAACATCTTAACCCAAGGAAAAAAAGTTTACCAAGAACTTCCTCTGTACCGGACAGATTGATTATCTAGTATTATCCAATGAGAACTTTATCATGTGTTGTAAGTTTATCTATAATTAAAATTTCATAACACATTTAATTATGAATTACCGCAATTTAAACAGAAAAAGAATAATAAAAAAAAAAAAAAAAAAAAAGAAGAAGGTACTATTCCTATGGTAACTGAGTTGTATGCCATATGTTTTGGCTTGCAATTTAAATAGATTTTGGTGTCAGATGAAGGGTGTGTTACTGGATGAGATTGGATTCTTATTTTTTGACATACATTGAAAGTGTATTTGAATCTCACTTTAGAAACTCATTTTGTCTCACTCTATTTTTCACACATATTTATCTCACTTTTTCTAGATTCCAGAGAGGCCAATAATTTCTGGTCAAAATATTAATTAAAAATTAAATAATAACATTAAATATTTAAAACATAATATAGTAGAAAAACCTAAGAAATTAAACACCTAAACCCTAGCCACCACCATCCCAGCACCCTGCCTTCTTCTGGTTCTTCGCCCAACAGATCAAATCAAACTAAAAAAATCAAATTCCAAGAAATAAAATCAGAAAACCAAACCAAGTAATCAAAAGAATCATATCAAAAATCAAACCACAAAACCAAATCATACCCAACCATTCTTCAACCACCCAACTTCCTCTACACACTCGACACTAGTTTCACCACAGCCCCCACCCCCAGTTAAACTGCAACATCCTTCCAACCACCATCGAAGCCACCCCCATCCAATACCTCACCCCATCACCCCAAACCCACCCAAGATTAATCTCCCCATCCAAACCCCAACTGTGGTAACTAATCAAAATCAATCAAAAAATTGAAAAACAAACTTACATCTCAAAGAGAGAGACGAAGAGATTGGTGGGTATGTGGATTGGATATTTGGGAGATGGGTGTTCATTCAAAGGTGTGGGTAGTTTGGTGATGGGGGTTTGGATCAGGTATCAAATGATGTAAGTTGTTAAGGGATGGGGGTTATGGGGAAGAGAGAGAGAGAGAGAGAGAGAGAGAGAGTGGCAAGGCAGACCTGCTGGAGGTGGTCTGAGAAATTGTTGCACCGAAGTGACAACGCCAGCGGGATTCGGGTGGCCATGGTGGTTGTTTGCTGGGGTAAGTCAGGATGGGGGGCCTGGAAAGAGAGGACGAGAGATTTTTTTGTTCTGAATTTTGATTTCTAATTAATTTAATTTAATAAGACAAAAAAAAATTAATTAACATAACGTTTTTAATATTTAATATGAATTAAATGTTTAAAATTGAATTTTTAATTTTAATTCGTAGTTTGACTGCAAATTGTTGGCCTTCCTGGAATTCGGAGAAAGTGAGACAAATATGTGTGAAAAAGAAAGTAAAGTGATCAAATTGGACACATTTGACAGAAATTCTCAGTTATCCTTGAATTGCTTGAAATAGAAACTATGTGGACACAATTGATCAAATTAAAATATATGAACTTTTTACCATTAAAAAATAAGCCATTTAATTATTTGACAAAAACTAAAAAGTTGGTACTTTCTTTATTGTCCTGCTTATAGTGGCTTGCATTGTAGGTGTTCGAGGAAACTCCCAAACCAAAGTCACCTTTGTTTACCCGCGGAGTCTGATGTGTTAATTTATATATGTTGATCGTGGAGAATGAGGTGTTAATTTATTATATGTTGATGGTTGTTGACAAATTTTTCTTGTTGGGTGCAGGTGCATCAGGTCGAATGTGCGAATAAGATTTATTCTTTTTTGAATGTGTAGTTTAGATTCATGGTTTGATAACAAACTAAAGTGCAACAAAGTAGAGAAGTCTGAATTCCCCTAAATTCCTTCTATGCACTATCACATAGTCAAAAGCCATGGCCTAGAATTCACGTACCTGGGATGGTGTGTGGATAACATGTATGATATTTCCTCCATTTGTGTTTGCATATTTCTTCATAACGAGGCCGTACTCGAAGCTCAAAGCCATACGTGAGGGCACTGTGTATGGATTCATAAGAGGTATTGTAGCCCTTAGAGTAGTTCAAGAGCGCCAAAGCCACCCACTCTGCACTGCAACCCTCGTTCAAATCCCCCACTTCCATAACCCCAACCTTCACATAACTGTACGTCTTTTGTTGGACCAAAGAAGAAGCATTTATATTCAAGCATGGAGCAGTGTCCACGTACAGAGAAGAATTCACTGGATTCGAACACTTGATGTAAAATACAGGTGTCGAAAGCAGATAACCTGACCTATTATATGCACTATATGGAGCTATTAAAAAAGGTGGATTTTGAGGCATGGAGGAGCAATTGTTCTTCTGAATGCCGGGATCTACAACTCGGATGGTTTGATTATCGTAGTTGATTGCCTGGACATAGTATTTTCCAGAAGAAGGTAGGTCTACTAGTAGTGTACTGTTGTTCTCACAGGACAGGGTAAACAATAAATCGCCGCAGTGCGTTGGATCATGTTGAAGTCGGAAAGGATAGCTTATGTTGTGGATATTGCCGCAGGAAGAGGTACACTTAGTACCGTCGTCTTTCGCGTTACAAGTTTCGCCAGATAACCCAACAACAAGAAATGCTACTATCAAAACCCACCCAGACAAGGCCAAGAACCTGCTTCCCATGGAGAGAGAGAGAGAGAGAGAGAGAGAGAGAGAGAGAGAGGGGTTGTTTGGCATTCAAATTAGCTTAATACGTAGACACTTTCTTATAATAAGAGATGGTAATTGTGTGTATGAGCACACTATCCAGAAGAATTTTTCAAATTTACTATTGGATAACATTTGAAAAATATCAGAAGAAAAGTCATGCAGCAATTTAATTATTAGAAGCCTAGGTAAGCCATGACGTTAAAGAGCCAGGTTTTGTTGACTTCTTGAGTTTGGTTTTCCTTCTGATTTGGTCCAAGTTTTGGCCTTGGTTTGTATATTCATTTATTTACTGTAAAGGGCCAAGCTTGTTTCCGATTTCTTTTGAGTGGTCGATTGAGCAAGGTCAATTCATTGCTGTACTCGACATACCTATCCAAATACATCTGCTCAGGAAAAAAATCCAGTGCCACTTTAGCTCAGAAATGCAGCAATTCCTCATCTCTTGCCTTTGCATATCGTATATGGTTTTCGTCAAAGCGATTGGAGCAGGACAAGATACGTGCACAGAATCTAAGTGCAGTAACGATCATGGCCTGGCTATCCATTTCCCATTCCACCTCGGACATCGTTGTGGTGATCTCCAATGGTTCGCTGCAGGATTTCATTTCATCAGCGGATAGTAAGAACAGTTTCCTTGGTTGGGAAAAGTTGCATGATATTGCCGTAGGCATAGCCAAAGGAATTGAATATCTTCACCAGGGATGCGATCAACGAATCCTCCATTTTGATATCAAACCCCATAATGTTTTGCTAGACCACAACTTCACTCCAAAAATTTCTGATTTTGGTTTGGCCAAATTATGTTCCAAGGATCAAAGTATAGTGTCAATGACTACAGCTAGAGGCACCATGGGATACATTGCACCTGAAGTGTTCTCTAGGAATTTCGGAAATGTGTCTTACAAGTCAGATGTCTATAGTTTTGGAATGTTGTTGCTAGAGATGGTAGGAGGAAGGAAGAATATTGGATCAAGCGCAAAGGACACAAATGAAATTTACTATCCAGAATGGATCTATAATCTTCTAGAAGGAGGAGATGACCTACGAATCCATATTGGAGATGACGGAGATGGTAAAATCCAGAAGACACTTGCAATTGTAGGGCTCTGTGTTAAGCTCATAATTTCATAAATATACATGCCCTATTTACTTACTTCTTTTGCTTAGTTTCCTAGATTTCTATGTTAT